TAATAGAACAAATTATCTAAAGATATAATAGAATAAATTATATAAAGATTCAACTCAACATGGATTCAATAGTATATATTTTTCTATGAAATAATAAAGGCAGTATGTGCCAAAGCTTGAATGAATAATTGCATATACCATACACGGTTGTTGTAACTCAAAATTTAGTGCCACCATACAGTACGCAACCATTAATCATCGACCACGTAGTGACATAATATCCCCTATACACCATTCCGACACGAGATGGCATGTGACGCCATAAATTGCCAAATTAAAAGAGCAAAAAAATATACAAAATAGTACCGTAATATGTTGTTTTTCCATGACTATAAAATAAATAAATATCTATCTATATTTTATAATATAATTTTAAATATATTCATTATTCATGTTGATCGTTAGAAATATATTTATTTTTCGCTTATTTAATAAAGATTTTACCTATTCTATGATCACAGAAAGACAATATATATATATATATACAATTCTATATTATAATAGTTTATTATAAATTTTTACCAATAAAATTTATTTATTTTATAAATTTTAAATCACATGAAATTTAAAATTTGACACATTTAATCTTTATCGAACACAACAATTTATGCTTATAATTTGTCCCTGCATTGCAGTTTTATTGGATCTCGTCACTTTCAACGTGACATATGACTTTTACAATAAAATTGCATTGTCACGTCAAAGGTGACGTATACCCGATAAAAGATAATTCAAAAACGTAATTTAAAAATAGAAAAGAAACAAATATATCGATCAATCATTCTATTCTAATTCAAATCGAATCGAAACAAGATGAAATCCTATCCCTATCAAAATATTTCAATATACCATTTCTAAACCTATCTTTCTCTTTCTCATCATTCTCCAAAGATAAAAAAATAGAAAAATATAACAAAAAAAAGAAGAAAAATAAAATACATTTCACATCGAAATTTTCTATCGTTCCCGCTAATTTTTTCTTAATCCTGCGATCCGGCAGGGTCGGGGGTACGTCTAACAAATCGGTCCGCGGGTATAAATTGAAATGCTAAAAGCGAAATTGGGTAGGAATTAGGAAAAACGCCGCGAAATGGGACGATGATTACGCGGAGGGAAGTTGGACGCGGATGGTGGGCTCGGAGGGTTGGAAGGGTCGCGAAGGGCGGTCGAACGGAGGTGGGCCCAGCGGCGAAGTCGGAATTCCCTTAGCCTACGCTCTCCGAGGGGGGTTACGCTGGCCATCGGTTGAGTCTATGGTGGAGGTTGCGACTAGAGGGGTCGAGGGTGAGAGAAGAGGGTGAGGTGAAGTGGTGGTGGGGCCAGCGTAGGTTGCGTCTTACCGAACGAAAGAGGGAGGCCGGCGTAGAAACGAGGGGATGGTTACGATGGTGGAGGGTGCCTCCGAGTGCCGCGTAAATAACTTCCATCTTCGAGGGTGCAACCACCCGCTTCCCACCCCGTCACGGGGGATGGACCTCTCCCCGGAACAGAAGGAGAGAGGGATAGGAGATGAAAAAAGTGGAAAAAGAAAAGTGGAACGAGGAGATGGAGGAGAGTGAATGGGATGGGTGATCCAGTGGGAGGGTGGTGATTCCGTTGGAAGAGGGAGACGTAAAATATTCTTAATGAGCAAAGACTTTCAAGTATTGACTCAAAATGGCGGCCGTCCTTTCAAGTCGGCTTGTTAAGCATTATTCCGCGCCCTACCACCCCCTCTTCACTTCGCCTCCCTTCGCTTTGTGCGAATTCCCGTCCTCCCTCGCCCTCCTCGTCCCTCCTCGTGCGCACCGCTTGCTTAGCGCGCCGGTATATCCTACGCAAGGACACTAATCCGTCTCTCTCTCTCTCTCCTCCCCTCCTCTTACTTTCTCGTACCCCGTGCGTCTTTTGACCGATGTCGCAAACAAGGGAAAGAAACGAAAGAAAGAAAACCGGGAAGAAAGGAACGAGAAGCCGATGCCTACGACGGCGATAGTCTCGCCAATCTTTTTGAGGTTTTTATTAGGTCGAGGAAGACAAGAACTCGTCCTTTCTCTCGTTTTCTTTTCTTTTTTTTTTCTTTTTTTTTTAGCCCATGTCAAAGGAAACGGATCACAATGGACTTGTTCGCCGCGAACTATACGGAAGAAGGTCCTTTTTGTTACAATATTCGAAGTCACGGCGCTGGAAATATTCAGATTCCACGACCACCGACGCGTAAATATTAATTAAAGTTTTTGAATCGATACTGAATAGAATCGACATTCTGATGTCATGTTTGAACGATATCGTATAAATTATTACTATTATCCTACAAATATTTTTATCGTTTTAATAATTTGTTCTTCTATATTTTTATATTAATTTTATTGTAACTAAATTAATGCGATTAAAATTCGAAAGAAGGAAAATATAAATATTCTAAATATTCTAAAATCCATATCAAGCACGATTTGATACCAAGAAGGATTAACAAGAAACGATTCGAACCCTCGATCCACGTCTGATCCGATGTCGAAATATTTTCCAACGAATCTTAATGGTCCGCAGACACGTGACTCTTAATTCCGTTGAGCGGGAAGAAGAGTCCAAAATTCTTTAAGACTCTCTTCCCAGTGGATGAAGGCTATCGAGGCTTTTACAAAAAGGCTTTCGTACGAACGGATCGAGGAGTGGATTATTTAAGGGAGAGGGCCAGAAGCGTTGAACGGCTCGAGGCTTGTTAGAACTTGGCTTTCGCTTTGAACCTTCGTGCACCGTTTCGTCCTCCTTCTTGGGAGAGGGGCACGGAGACCGGAATAAGGGTTAAAAATGTATAAGATAAGATAGAGAGCGTCGGTGATCGAAGAAGGAGAAAGAGAGAGCCAATAGCTTGGGGCGAAAGAAGACAGTGAAACGAAGAAGAACGCGAAACCGAGACAGAGAGAACTTTCATTATTGATCAAAGAAACTGAGTGTCGCTTCCCTACCCAAAAGCTTGTTCTATTCAACTTGCCTTCGGCTTTCCATTAAAAATACCAACGTCATCCGCTTTTTGCGACATCGACACGATCTCACCTACCGATAGCATCCGTGTGTCCTACCACGAATATTCCCTTTCTTTATTTATTGACCCTTACGACTTGTATAGATGCTTTAATTCGACTGTCGACAATGCCAAACCTTCGTATTATTTATTGTCTTGAAGAAGTTAATTAAATTTCGCTACTGGTGTCTTATAACTGACAATAAAAAGTTTACACGAAAAAAAAATGTTTGCACGCTTTATTTTTTAAAAAGAAATCTGAATGTTTCTGCTTTTCATGGATCCTAATTAATATACAATTTTAAGATTGTTATTTATGGATATTTATAGAGTATATTAAATTTTCTATGATATAATTTGTTTATTTCATAATTGATATATGAAAAATGTTTAAATATATCAGAAAAGTTATTAAAATACGACGAAAATCATTAATTTTAATAAAAATAAAGAATAAATCATATTTCTAAATCATATTTCTATAAAGTTATTATAATTATATGTATAATTATAAAATATAACGTTCTTTCTTCTAATAATTATTGTTACTAAGATTTTATATATGATTTAATAAAATACTATTAAAAATTAAAATTTCATCTAGATAATTGTACATGCAATGCCTACCTGTATAGTACTACAATATAAATAATCTAACGATATAGCGCACTCTATTAGAAAAATCTACAACTTATATGACTAATGATTCAAAAAAATCTTATGCAGATTTTTCTTTTGCAACTTTTCTAAAATTTTCTTATAATTTAGACAAATAAAATGCAACAAATATTTATAACATAATTGTAGTTGAAAATAGAAATTTTCACTACTTTAATATATTTTCTTCATTTCCTCTATATCATTTTAATATCATTTCCAACATTATCGATTCAGTAAAGAATACGATTAGAACGTTCATAGTGACTGGAATTGGAACTAAATGTATTGCAATGAATTCTCATATATTTTAATGGATAATTTAACACAATTTAAATAATAAAATAATATTTAATTTAAATAAAATAAAACAATTATGATCATTATATGATAATGAATATATTAATATTAATATTATTATTATTATTATCTATTAATATCAAATAATGTAAATAATTTAAACAATGCATTATTATTTTTATTATATAATACTTTTTCGAACTATGTTCATTTTAAATCAAGGATATGAAGATTTTATTGCATATGGAATTAAAAATAAATATGAAATATATATATATTCTTAAAAATTGAATGAACTCATGTGCAATCATGAGACAATAAATGTAGAAGTAAAATGACTTACATAATAACGTGGTTTGATGTAAAATTGTTTCTCGAGTCCACCAAATTAATTGCAGCATACAATTTAACACAAATATATAATAGATAATATCTTTTGTAGAGCAGAAATCTGAAATAGATTACAATAATGTTATTATCATTTGTGTATTATTATTAAATATTAAAGAATAATGAATATTAAATTGAATAAAATTAATCATTAAAAATAATATTTAATTAGAATATTTATTTAGAATATCTTTTTTAGAAGAATATTTGGCAAAAATTATGAACTTTTCTTAAGGAGTCGTTCAAAAATATCATATGCATTATTTTAATGGATATTATTACGAAATATGAAAATATTATACATAAATTCATTAAAATAAATTATAAAATACAATAAAAAATACTTACATTCTCTTATTTGCTCTCTTAAAGTATATTTTTTTGCACTTAAAGTCACTAAAGAAGAAATCACACCGGCACTTTCAAACTCACATTTTTCTAACTGTCATGCTTGCGATTCTCGAAAAAGTCAAGAGAATTAGAATCGATTGTATTAACGGCGCGAAATTTAAATTTTCATTATTGAATAGACATAAAACATAAAACTATTTTTTATAAAAATATATATATATAAATATAATTGTAAAATATACTTTTTTTACTTTTTTATCGATATTTAATATTAAAAGAACAATTTATTAATTAACTAGGAAGAATTATCTTTATATAAATAGCATTTTTATAGAGTCAATACTATCCTCTATATTGTTAAATCTATACTGTCAATTATTAACGTGTTCAATAACTTATTTTTATTTTTATAATTCATAATTAGATAATGAATGAAGAAACTGTGTGGCAAGAATTATCAGAAATATTTGCTGATCCTCCTGAAACAAGAGATAAATGCTTACAGTGCAAGTATGTAAACATATGTGATTAGGTTATGTTTATATAAATTTTTATAATGAAATAAATATATTTTATATTAATAAAATAAAAAAATAAATTCTAACATTATTTTTTTTAGTAAATATATTAACATTATATGTATACAGGAGACCAGTACCAGTATGTTGGTGTCCAGGGTTACCAAAACATCCTATATGTCCTGCATCAAAAATAATAATTTTACAACATCCAGCTGAAGCAAAACGTTGCTTAAGGACGGCACCTATGCTTGCTCTAGGATTAGAACCTGGAAAGTGTATAATTTACAGGTAATTAATTTAAAATATAAAAATATTACATGAAAAATTAGAGTTAATGTTATAATTTTCTTTTATTTTAGAGGGAAAAAATTTCCACTTTCAAAACATGAAGGCCTAACAGAAATATTAAATGATAAAAATAGTATATTATTATATCCATCTCCAGATGCCATAGCACTTGATAAATTAAATCCTGTTGGAATTAATGGACAGAAACCTTATAATCTTATTTTATTAGATGGAACTTGGCCACAAGCAAAGGTAATATAGTATTGTAATTTCATCAATTCATATATTGAAATGTATAAAAATGTTATTTTTAATAGGCAATATACCATTCAAGTCCAGCGTTGTGTGTTTTACAAGCATGTAAATTAGTTGGAGTTCCAACAAGTGAATATGTTATTAGAACACAACCAACTGAAGGTTGTTTATCTACACTTGAAACTGGTGCATTTGCACTTTCCATTTTAGAAAATGATCCAGAATTGAAAGATAAAATGCTTGGACCATTACATTATCTTTGTCGGTAAGTTTTTAATAACATAATAAATTCAATTTTATAAAAATAATAATTTAAAAATTTTAGATTTCAACTAGAAAATGGTGCTGTAACTCATCAAAGTAAAGAATTTTTAATTAAACAGAAAGCTTATCCAAAACTTATAGGACGGAGATTAGCTAAGCAATTACGTATGCTGCCAGAGGAATCTACATGACATTTTTGATTTAATAGTTCTTAGAAAGTTGATATTTTATAAGAAATATGTAATTTTTATAGCCATATTTTTGAAAAATACAAAGATACAAATAAGATAAACGAATAACATTTTTAATTTAAAAGTATATTTTTATAAATATTGCAGCATGTTATTTCATATTTTTTGACAATATACGAAAATCAAATTTCATATTTCCATATTGTGGTGCAAAACTAAATGACCATAAAACAGTACTTTGTTCTGTAACATGTGTTATATCTTTAAATAAATGTACGCCTTGTCTTGTAAACGGATCCCACGATATCCGGGTTCCAGATTGTATTTCTACGGTAGGTCCCGACGATATTGTGATTTCAGAATTCAAATGCCAATCAATCCACAGAGCTACACCATTACACATTCCATTCCTAAATTTAAATAAAAAATATATAAAATATAAATATTATAATTTATAACAATTATTAATATACAATATTATAAGAGCTTACGTTAAAATAGGCACAGTTTCTGAAATATTTACATCTTTAATTTCATTTACATTTTGTGTTAAATCAAATTTCTTAATAACGAAAGGTAAACTTAATGCTTTAGTAGGATATTCCCACAATGGTTGAACTTCTACAGGACTATCACTTTTATCACTTGATGCCTATAGTACATTATAAAAATTAATTTTTTTTATTACATCTTCTAATTTGTATTTAACTTACTTGTATAAGTTTGTCAAAAATAGATAGATCAAAACCCTCACAGACTCCAAGAGGTGCTCGTATTTTATGCAAATCATTGAACTCAACTATAACTCCCATTATTGTTGCTGCAATTGGGATCCTTTGTATTTGAGATGAATATCTTGAAATTAAATACCAGAAATAAAGATTTTCCCATGGTACAATTGAAGTAATAAAATATGGTTCACCAAAAATTAAATTAATTTCATTTTCGGGAGGTAAATTATCTACTGATTCAATAATTTCTACTTTTTCCGAAAGTTCGTTCTTTTTTAACAAACATTTCAATACATTTTTTGGATAAAAAATTTGTCTCCAAAACGAATATCTTTTTTGCACCTAATTTAATAGCTGCAAGACCCAATAAACAACCGTCCGAAAGACATAACATATTGTATCTGGTGTAATTTTTTCTTCTAAAACTTTGATATATTTTTCATTTCGTGTACAATCATTTAATTGTCCTATTCGAGTTCTACAATAAGCCACATGTACATTACAACTGCAGACAGGTCTTTCACAATCTGGTGCTTCATTTCTATAAGCAAAATGATATATACAAATCTATAAATTATAAAATAATATAATGAAATATTTACATTGACTTACATTGATTCATTTATTAATTGGAACCATAATGAATATTCATCGTGATACCCAATTAAACTAACTTCATTGTTAACAGTAACTGGAGTTTCAACAGGTAAATAATAAATAGCTTGCATCCAATGATCTCTCCATGGTATTAAATCTGCTATTGTTTTCAAACTGAAACCTTTATTTTGTAAGATTTTTGTATCTGGGTGTTCCCATACTGGTGCACAGCTTAATAAAACCTAGATAAAGAACTATTTAATAATAAATTTAAAATCTTTTAATAAATAATAATTACCTGATTATTTACATCCATAATTAAATCCCACCACATAAAAATAGCATGTGCAGTACCATTTATAATTGGTTTTACATGTAAACATTTTTTCTCATCATATAATAGAGTTGATTTACCAGATAAATCAAACCTAAAATTTTCATTTTATATTTCACTATCAATGAGATTCTTTTAATATTGAATAATATTGAATATATATACATATATTTACTTAAATATAGGTTGAGGAGGTAATAAAGGCTTAAATGCATCATCAGGAAATTGTGTTAATTGTATATCATGTACTGCAGCTGCCCCAGAACAAGATTTTACAGAATGTGGAGTGTTTAATAAATACTTATTTTTAACTTTAATAGGACATATTGTATTCCATGCACATACAGCAGAACTCTCCACTACTTGTACCCAAATAGTAGCACTATGTGGAATTACAATACTATTTTCCTAATATAAAATAAGTAAATTAAATATATTAGATTATATAAATTATTATATAAATTTACTACAAAAAGTGATTTGTACTTCAAGAAGATTTTCATGAGCATGACGAAATGTAGAAAGTGCTCCTTCTCCAATAAGTTCAGTATCAAATACTTCAGTAACCAAAATGTTCGCTTTCTTAATCATATCACCATTCTTTCCAATAGTCATTTTTGTAGAACGTTTATGTATTAATTTAATTTTGTTTTCAAAACCATTTTCTTGAATTATTTTTATAGCACATTTAGCCATTGGTGTGAAAGCCTAAAATAATACCATAAATATAATTTTGTAATATACAAATAATATCATAATATTAAGAATTTATAAACTTATTTACTTCACAAGCTGTAATACTATCTGCACCACATTTAGCAGCCATCATTGATAACAAACCAGTTCCAGTTCCTATATCAAGTACATTAGCTTCTTCTCCATTCTGATGCTTTTTTTCAATTGCAGCTTTAATACCTAGGTAATATTTTTGATTCTATAATTATAAAAAATTTTTAAACATGATAAATAGAAAATCATTTTAAACATTTTAATAAAGAGTACTAACTCTTTCATGATCATGCAACATATCAGCAAATGCTGATCGAGCAATTTCTTGGTGATAATCATAATTTTCATCTTTTTCTTCCCAATTAATTGTTCCCGTTAAAGGATTTAAACACTGAATAAAGATACTCATATTTCGTACCCGAATTAATCGAGAAAAACAAATTTTGAGCATAACCTTCTTACGACATAAACTTTTTAAATCACATAAATGCAAATTTTATTACTCAATTATTAAATACATTTATTTATAAAGATAACAAGAAATTAAAAAAAATGAAGACAATAACAAAAAAATAACATGAAGTCAATATCAAATATTTATTTAAAACCAATTTTTGTTTATCAACAATAATATTAGTATCACAAGTTTGAAATCTGAGATTAGAATTAATATATAATGTATTGAGAAATTGAAGAAAATCGCGTTATAATTGATATGTGAATTACAGATAATAAAATAAATTAAATAACATAAAATTAATAATTATATAAAAATAATTTCAATATTATGACAAATATAAACTATACACGTGCAAATACATATAACCATAGATAAAATATCAGATAGAATAGACCTAACTACCTAACATTCAATGCATTTTCATGTCCCATCTCCATGTCGAGTAGCTTCAGAGCCCTCTTACGATTTAATTAAGTTTAGACAAGGAGACCAAATAATAAGAGAAGGACAGAGATAGGATAAAAATATGGATATCAGCGCCATCTTCAGAGTGCCGTAAATGAAACTCAATGCATAAGGATAGAAAATAATAGGAAAAGGATAAAGATAGAATAGGAATTAACTATTAGTGCCATTTCTTGAATAACAAAATAAAGACAGAATTAAATACCAACGCCATCTCAAATAAGATGTTT